CTAGTCTGAAACCATTAATATCAACCATAAAGAGTAGCATCTTTGTTCGCTCCACGTGCTTCAGGAATTTGTGGCCCATTCCCACGTTTGCCCACGATCCTTCCACAAGGCCAGGTAAATCAGCAATGCTAATCTGGCGACCATCTTTAAATTCTGCCATGCCTATATTTGGCTTCAAAGTGGTAACTGTAATATAAAAAAAGATTGATATAGTATGGAAAACGACTTCTTGTGCATGTACTTTTGTCACTTTCATATCAATAATACCACAGATGAATGCAAGCTATTCTGAATTATTAAAAGAGAAGCAATAAAAATAATTAAAAAATGAACTTACATGGATAACTTGCAATTTTCGGCCTGGCATTTGAAATGGCCTTTAATATAGTCGATTTTCCTGCATTGGGGAATCCCACAAGACCAATGTCAGCAATCAGCTTCAACTCCAGAATAATATGGTGTGCCTGTAATAATAACAATATACAATATATTTTGTTCTGTATTCAAGACTATGAGTTGTCACATGAGCTTGACCAAACTAAGTTGCAAAGGAGGATGACATTAATTATAATATGGAAAGATATGATAATACTTTTTTCTGAAACTCATTTTTTTTTGTACTAAAGACCTGAAATTTTTTTTTTTCTGAGACTCATGCAAAAACTCTAGATACCAAATATGAAAAGACTAAATAATAAGGAACAGATTAAATACAATCTAAAGAATCTTGTTTTTTTTTTACTAATTGCACTGCATTTTTAATCCAAAAAACATGACCATCTGCACAGTAGTAGAAAATGAACCTGTCTCCTCCTCTCTCCACTGAACAAAATATACAAACCATAAACACAAAGGGAAAAAAGGGGAAAAATTACACAGACAGACAGACACACACGCACGCACGCATGAATGCACACAAAATTGTTTCTATGCTTGTCTGAAACAAAGTGGACATATAGCTACCAGTTAATAGAAACACAAGAAATTCAAAAGTATAGTGTTTTGAGCAATTATCTTGCAAAAATGATAGTCAAATACCTAAGCAACATCTCTTCATTTTCTTAAATACTCAGATATAAGAACCATGAGACATAACTACAGGAGAGGAGAGGGGACAGAAAATGGATTAAAAACTCTAAATTAGAAGTAAAGGTAAGGCACAAAAGTCTCAGAACAGAATGAGGGAGAGTTCAAAGAGACAAAACGGCAAAAATGCTCAAGGACAATTGCCATACCAAATCTAGCACTTTTATATGAAGAAGATAATACTGATGATTGATAACAACAGGCAAATGCAAACAGAGAAATAGTATAGGTAAAAGTCAAACCAGTTTCATCTGATATGTAGGTAATAGCAATTAAAATTTCTCTCAAACTTACCTGTCCTTTCTGTCCATTATATTGATTATTTGGAGAACCACCTACCCCACCTCTGGCAACTAATATTTTATCCCCTGCCTGATTCAGTTCACCTGAAAGATATAAATATGATAAAGACAAAATATATGAAAAAAATAAATCACTTTGAAATGCATTATCTAATACTTTTAGTGCCACACGTTCTAAATTCACAGTTTTATTTTCTAACTAAACATTGTAGGAAACCATATCATAAGTTTGAATAAGACCTTTAGATAAAATCCAGCATGATTTCAAAACTGATACCTCATCTTTTAATGAGCTCTGTTTTTGTACTGAGTAAGGCTAAGCTTATCAAATATCAATTTTTATGCATCTTCTCAAGAATCAATAATAATTTCACTAAATCAAAAAGCATATACTGACAGATAGCATACACAGGTGATTTATTAATAATATTAATAGGAATTATAAATCATTTGATATAATACTAAAGTTCAATACGAGATAAAATAAGATACCACAAGATATGGTGTATAATCTAATGGAGATGGACTTGTACAAACAAATATTCAACAAATATTCAGTTTTACTGTCAAAATTTAATCTAAGTAAACTTCCAATCTGTATATTAACCATCCTTCTAAGTCTCTGAATCTAGTATTATCTATAAAGTATAACATACAACTTGTAAACTCAAATAACCATTCTAAAATGTATGTATTGGCATACCTATTAGTCTCTGATCATCTAATCTGACTGCTGTGCCAACTGGAACAGGTATGCAAACATCCTCCCCTTGTTCACCAAGAATACGAAACTGTCGACTATTTGCACCATTCTCTGAACTCCAGCGCTTATCTGGATGAGCCTTCAGGGTCTTTAAGAGACTGGTGTCTGTTCAGAAGAAACATAAATTACAACATTAGCATACTTGCACGTATAAAGAACTAAAATTATATGGCACTTGTACAATCCACATACTATACATTTATATAAATAATGTGCATATAGAAACACAGATGAAATAAAATAATAAAAAAATAAAGAAATCTAATGTTCCTTTTCTGTATATTAATATTATATTCATAGAACTATGGAATAGAGAACAGATAAAATTATAGAATTATATCATATCTGATAATCTGATAGAATTATTATTCAAGATTTTCTCAAAACATCTGGTGCCCTTACTTTTTATAATAAAAAAAAGGAAAACAGAAATCACTGATCTAATGCTGAATTCGGAACTCCATATCTGACAAGACGTTTAGACTTTTTTGGCATCTCGGACAAGCTTTTCATCTCCATCTCGCCTAGCTTCGCAGCCAGGCTAGTAGGACGAGATGACATCACAATAACGTTTATATGTACACATTGACAGCTGTCAACAACCACAGGATAACAGTAGGTAATTATATGGTCCTTTAATTTGATAAGTTGTCTGGATGAGCAAGACAAGGAGTTCCAAATGCAGCATAATCTTTCATTTGAAAATTTGCTTATTTCGTCCATGTAAACTGCAGATTAAATAGTAAAACCCTATGACCCAAGTAAATTATTGAAATTAACTGTTTCCTTGCTTTTTTTTTCTTTTCTTGCTTTTCTTTTCTTTTTTTCTTTTCTTTTTTTTCAGTGTAAATAACCAGCTGCAAGTCTTCTTACCTTCTTTTGCTTCAACATAAATATTTCCACCACTTCCTCCAACGCCTCCAAAACGAGGGTATCCCATGCCCCCACTTCCTCCTTTCACGTACAATCGGAGACTATCCAGAAAACCTCTTTTCATGTGCCTCATTGTGACGGTTACTGGAACAAATCTGAAAATAAAAGAAAAATTATCTGACATGACCATGCAAATTCATCTCTGTATAAGGTGAAAAGAAATGACTGATTATGGAATATGAACATGACATTTCTTTTCTTTTTTAGAGCTTCTGGAGAAGAAAGAAAGAAAGAAACAAAGAGAGAAAGAAAGAAAGAAAGAGAAGGAAAAAAAATTATATATATATATATACATATATATATAAATATATAAACATATATATATATATATATATATATATATATTTATATATATATATGTGTGTGTGTGTGTGTGTGTGTGTGTGTGTGTGTGTGTGTGTGTGTGTGTGTGTGTGTGTGTGTGTGTGTGTGTGTGTGTGAGTGTGTGAGTGTGTGAGTGTGTGAGTGTGTGAGTGTGTGTGTGTGAGTGTGAGTGTGAGTGTGAGTGTGAGTGTGAGTGTGTGAGTTTGTGAGTTTGTGAGTGAGAGTGAGAGTGAGCTTAAGGTCCTGGGTGTGAGTGTGAGTGTGCGTGCATGTGTCTGTAAGTGTGAGTGAAAATGTAAGTGTGAGTGTGATGATGAAACCCATAAGGAGAATATCGTGTTAACTCGAATATCGTAATTAAGCGTCACTTCCAGATTTCCCACATCAGCTCTTTAAAAAGTCCTGAAAGATGATGAAACATGAGTGAGAACATGAGAAAATGCATGAGTTTCGTCCCACTAAAAGAATCTCATTAACCTGGAACACGTGTTATAAGATTCACCGTCACTGTCACCTGAAAATGAGGAGCTTTTCTTCTTCTTTCTTCTTCTTCTACTTGTACTGACTGTAAAAAGAGTATATTTTCTTAAAAGTCTGATTAGCACGTAACTTTTTCTGTAGAACTTCTTATTTTTTTTGCTCTTCTTTTACCAAACTCGTCCGCTCCTCAGAACTACAATACCCAATTCTCGCTCATTTTCTCGTCCATTAACAGGATTCTTATATTAGTTAGGGATATTATGTATCAGTTAGAATAGAATATTAATAAAAAGGAAGGTTTGTTTAGTAGAGAGGAAGAATATTTATGAATAAGACGAAATACAAAACCCATATTCTTACTCATTTTCTCGTCCAGTTACAGGAATCATATATTAGTCAGGAATAATATATATCAATAGAAAATAATATACATCAGATAGAAAAGAATATCAATGAAAAAGGAGGTTTATTTACTCCCCCAAAAAAGAAGAACATTAATGAACAAGCCGAAAGAGGTTCTCCGGAAGGGTCGCGCCGCTGATTTCTTCCTGATCTCCAATGTTTACAAACAAACGGCTCGGGAGGAGGTCGGTCTTCGAGGAGGGAAGAAGAGTCTAATAAAATCCATGTAAAATAAGAAAGAAGGTCTTCGAGGGGGGAAGGTAACACTGCCCAAGATTCAACTCTCACAGAACAAAATTAAAAGAGGCATTAAGACGAGTAAACATTAATGATATTGATATTAATCTTCTGATTACAGGTGCAGATCAACCATCTACAAGAAAGTACTACATATTAAGACACACAAAGATTTTCCTACAAACAACTAAATTATCTGATATAATTTAAGAAACAAGAAGCCTAGAAAAAGAAGATCCAGGGGATATAGACAACAGTCGTCTAAAACCCTATAACGAGAAAGTAGAAGAAGAAGGAGGGAAGGTTTAATAAAACTATGTAAAACAAGAAAGAAGGGGAACAACAACAAACAGCGATATGGGGAAAAAGAAGAGAGTCGGGATGTATGCCGATCTTAGTTTAAGGTTCTGTAAACAAAGAAAGTAGAACTAAAACGCGATGATATACGAACAGAAGTGAAAACCTTTTAAAAAATTATCTACTGCCCGTAGTTGATATATTAGTGAACCTTAGTTGTTATAAAGAGGTAGAGGAAGCAGAATCAGTGACTTCATACCAAGAAACCCCAGATAATACCATTTTCGCCAGCGTGAAACTTCAACACCAACCAAAGCAAGGAGAAAAGAGCCCACACGCCGGAGGACATGTACTTTACTTCGACGAGTCGCCTTCCCTCGCAAGATGGATGCGAAGAAGTCGATCTGCTACATGAGCTTGGCCGATGCCTTCCTGAGCCGGCTGAGGAAGGAGGCTGTGAACAGGACGAGGAGCAGGATCATGAAGGGCGTCGGTGTGGAAGTTCTCCCAGTCAGCCAGGACAGACAAGATTTCATTTACGATTATCTTACCAAACTCTATGAGCAAAAGAAAGGAACGTTCAGTAAACCCAAGATTTTTGCAAGACAGACAATATATGAATGTGAAAGGAGTAATGCTTGTAAAGGTAAGTCTTTTTTTATGAGACATGGGATGATATGGAAAAAATTAGATATATGCTGCATTCAGAACTCCTTGTCCAATAAGTTGGCTAAGATAGACGAGATGTTTTGACTGTTTGGAACTCCTCTTTTGGACAAGGATAAGCTGTCCATCTCATCCATCTGCTCTCCTTTGCAGCCAGGCAAGCAAGATGAGATGATGTCACAGTAGCATTTGTGTGATAACATAGTGAATGTTTACTTTCAAGCAGGTTGCATTGCGGCCAATGAAGGCCTCAGAGGTTCCAAATGCAGCCTCATTGTCTTGCTAAACCTGATAAGTTGCACACCTGATAGACTTGTAAAACAAGGAGTTCCAAAAGTAGCAGTATTAGAATATAAGTGTGTATATGTATGTATGTACATATATACATATACATATACTGACATAGGTTTTGAATATGATGGTATTTAACCTCTGAAAATGTCAATTTCTTGCCTTGCCCTACATCCAAGTCAGAAAGGTATCAGACTTTTGTATAGGACCAATATCTGGAATTTATATGATCTATTTAGAAAATCTCTTTTGAATGCAGGAAAGGGACAAAAAGTCTTCATGTCCAGGAATTACTGTAGGTCTGACAACCATTTTACTTGCCCAGGATGTAAAAAGATCTATCACTTAATTAGTTTAAATGAAGAAACTAGCACAAGCCTATATCTATTAAAGACCAAAGATTTTTTCGAATGTGTAACCATTTATTGTTATTCATAATTTACTTTTCAGGAAATTCTTCAGGAGACCCAACAAAGACAAGGGCAAATGGTTGCACTGCTTATGTTTCATTTATGTTTGAAGAGGGGGCAACTATAACAGCCTGCATCATTCGTTATAGACTCGTTCATAATGGCCATGATCCAACCAACAGGGAAGAGTCAAAGGTCAGTCGCATTGATCAGTCGCTGAGGCTCATCATTGAGTCACACTTGAAAGGAGGCATGAAAGTGAGTGATGTAATGAATGAAATAGCAAAATGGAATAAGGCCCATAAGCATACTGATCACAAGAATCGACGGTACTTTCCTTCTCGGCAAGATATCCAACAGCTTGCTCTTTCCCTAAAAAAACCTGTTAAACTACCATTGAATAACAGCCTAGAATCTAAGAAGCCAAGAAAATATGACACACTTAACAAAGACAACGTGACACGACTTCTGAGAACAGAGTACCGGGAGACTTGTGTTTATTATCAGTCAAGAACAACTACTGGTGCCAATCCACGGCCATTGATTGTTGTGCTCCAGAACAGTGAGCAGAGAGACATGTTCAATCTGCATGGACAACACCTAGTCTTTATTGAGAAGAACTATGAAGGTAAGTCATCTTTCAGTATGTATATGCAAATAATTTCCTTTTTTTTTAAATATTCAGATGAGGATGGATTTAGTTCTTTTGTTATAATTTATAAAATTTCAGGTCTCAGACAGTATGGAAATGCAGTCTATGTATTGGTAGTGAGAAATAACCAAGGGAATGCCTTTCCTGTTGCTTATGTTATTACAAGCTCTGACGACGGTCACACATTTACTCAGGCACTGGAGAAGCTCAGATCCAGATGTCAGACAAATCCAAAGTAAGTTTATTTTCTTCCTATTCCTTTAAAATTAATAGGTTTCTTCAATTGAAGGATGAAAAAAATTCTTAATTTTATTTTCCTATAACTGTTAAGGCCATTTTTAGACATTTTCTTGATTTCATTGTTAAGGCTATTTTATTACTATTACATTATATTGCAACATATTATATTTAGAAAAGTGTAATTCAATAAAACTGTAATATCCCGTTCTTAAATTTGAGGTGTTTTTAATATATACCATATTTACAGAATATTCTTCTTAGATCGAGAGCTGCATAGCTTTGCAGAAGCAATATCAACCATGTATCCAGAGAGTCTCTTCCTGATATCATGGCATCAAGTGGCTCAGGCATGTATAGGAAACCAAGATTTGAAATAAATTCTAGTTGTGATGAGGGTGTTTCTTTCATTCTCTCTCTCTCTCTCTCATTGTCTCTCTCTCTGTCTCTCTGTCTCTCTCTCTCTCTGTCTCTCTGTCTCTCTCTCTCTCTCTCTCTCTCTCTCTCTCTCTCTCTCTCTCTCTCTCTCTCTCTCTCTCTCTCTCTCTCTCTCTCTCTCTCTCTCTCTCTCTCTCTTTCATGCAAGTTTAAAGTGGTTTCATTTGTATACATTGCAAAAGTATATATAGGACAAATGAAATACATAATTTTTTATGCTTGTGATTATTAATACAATTTGAGGGTAAGCTATTAAATTTGAATTAGTGGTGCTGTACGTAACATTTTGTGTACACCTTTCAGGAAGTTCATAAGTGGTTGCAGACATCTCCAGTCTCAGAGAAAGAACATGCAGATGTCCGCAGAGTGCTCATTCACTTCATAAGTGAATTGAAAGGAGCCGAAACGGTAATATTAGATACTTTATATGTTTACCTTGAATTTTTTTTTAGGTGTTTGAATGTAAAATGTAGGTAATCAGGTCAACATTCTAATAGTGATGGTAATGATGATTATAATACAGGTAATAACAATATAGTGGTACTAAGAAGACAAACTTTTTTGCTACATTACTAGGCACTGTGTAAAAATAGGAGGAAAATAAAACGAAGCCATATTTATATACACTTATAACTATTCTAGCTCTGAAATGTCCCTATGCCTCCATCATTCTACAAATGCATGACCAACAAGGACTCAGCTAGTGGACCTCATGACCTCACCTGATTTCACCTTTCCTTGAGAATTTGGGATTTCTTTTTTCTACTTATATCAATAATATTCCTCTCATTATCATTATTATTATAGGTATTTTGATTATTATAATGTTATTAACCTTGCTAATAGCCATATAAGATAAAAGATAAGGTTTCCAAAAATCAAGGAACGAGTTAAACAGGCAAGACAGTTCTTATTTTTACTGATATATATTTCAGTATGTAAATTCCTCAACCAAAGAGTATACAGTTAGGTTACAGAATAATTTCCATTCCCAACGAGAAAAAAAAATCATGTAATAAATGTAAAGGTTTCAAAGAACATCAAACTTGATTTTAAAGGTTTAGAAAGTAACGAGTGAAGTTCAAACTAATCACAATCATGCAGGTGTTCTTAATCAACAAGGTTGCTATGATCTCAAAATGCAATATTGTCAATTGCAAAAGTTTGTTCTGTAACTATTGGATAACTGATTGGTTTTCTTTATTCTGTACATAATTGGTATTTGTCTTTTCTAGTACATTTATGAATTATTTTGATCCAGAGATGGGTTATGCCTCTCCACCTTAAAAAAAGGAAAATAACAACAATATTACCAGTATCATTGCAATCATCATTATTCTTCTCATTATTATCATTACTATAATTATGATTATTATTATTACCATTACCATTAATATTATTATCGTTATCATTATTATTGCTATTGTTGCCTTGTTATTATCATCAGTCACTAAAGCCGCCACTGGCAGCTTGCAAGCCTCAAGCAGCAAGCAGTCAATCGATGTTCCCACAACAGTCACTCTTTTGTGTTTGGTAACCG